AAAAAAAAAATGATTTCATTACATGATACACATTATTTAATTTAAAAGCATCATAAGAGTATTCAGTATCCTGATCTGAGCTACAGCTTCAGCTCCCCCAGAATCCAAACACTGTTTTTATGCATATATGCTCATTCCAGATGACTAAAGACAATTATGAATGAAGTATTGATAATGAATAAGTTCAATCACTTACATTATTGWATTTTTTTTTATTTGAATCTTTTTTTATTTCTATTTATTTTAAGCTAAGTGTCATTGGCCAAGATGAATCCAAGATGCAGCCCACAGGATCGTTGGCTATTCGCCTCGAAATTCAACTTATGAACTTAGTATTTTTGGTCAGAATCATWCTGGTGTTGGTTGTAGAATGTAGGTATACATTGCATTTTACGCATTAATTTACAAGTCAACAGATTGTGTTCTACGTCCGGACAACAAAAACGGCATTGTCACCATGCTGTTGCCATTGCTGGTTTCAACCATTCTGTTATCTTAACGCCAATCCCGAAGATTTATAATAGTATATTGATATATATATATATCGCTATTTTAATGGTGATGTATATACATAAGATTTGAAAATTTAATACGAGGCTTCTAACATATTTTTACAATATCAGTTGAAAAATAAAAGAAATACAGTCCCAAATTTTTTTTACAAGCATTCAAATTTTAATTTTTACAACATACATAAAAATCACGAAAACTTAACGAAGTTATAATAAATAATTTTGTTAACTTACCCAGCCTTATTGTTAATATAAACTTTCAATATATTAACTACGCCTATGCTGTTCAGTCCTAACTCCTAAATTGACAAGACTTCATGACTATAATATTATTTACCCTGAACAATTAWAGGTAAACCTACAAACGAAAATTTGACAATTYATAGTCGAAAMACTTATCATCTTAGAAGTCATTATTTTAAATYTCACACCATTCATACAAAATCGGCCAACAAAAGTATTCCAATATTTTTACTACAACATATTTTCTGATAGGGAGATAGTGAATAAAAAATTCTTAGTATAATTTTCAATTGTGTT